GAGGAGATGGGTGGGGAAAAGAATGGTGAGCTCCATTGTTCTTTCCTGCTCTCTAGTTCAAACCACCATTTGTGCCTCATGGCTGATGACATTCCCACCATACCCGGATTTTGACAAGCACTCAGTGTCTCAGGAGATTGTATTAGAATGCAATGAAGGATCGGTGATCATGTTTTACTCTGTCTTGGGCTTTATGGGCTTTTTGGCTGTTGTCAGCTTCTCTGCTGCTTTTCTAGCTCGGAAACTCCCTGACAGTTTCAATGAAGCCAAATTCATCACCTTCAGCATGTTTGTCTTCTGCAGTGTTTGGTTGTCCTTTGTTCCCAGCTACTTGAGTACCAAAGGAAAATATATGGTGGCTGTGGAGATCTTCTCCATCTTATCTTCCAGTGCTGGCTTATTGGGTTGCATCTTTGCCCCCAAATGTTTTATCATCCTGTTTAGACCTGAACTGAACAGCAAACATTTGCTCATGAAGAAGTAGTATTGAAATCCTCAGTCACTGCTACCAATCGGAAATGCAAATGCCAGTGGAAATGGAAGTGGGGTGAGAGGAAATGTGGTATCATGAAACACCTCCTCAAAGTCCATCACCCCGTCATAATGGCAGAAAGTAACTCGTCAAGACAGATCAAAATGCTTCACACATTTTGATGAATTCTATTGTGTTTGTTATCTTTGTGAATAATGTGAATTTTTTGAATATAGCTCTGTGATATATTCATGTTTTTTTCAATATTTTAAGGAACGGACACCTTTAAGGCAGCTTGTAGGTAGTACTGTTATGACTTCATAGATCCAGTCCCACAAAAGCCCCTCAAATGATTTCTAATGTGTCTTGAGGAAAGAATGTTGGCGGAAAAAGCTGAAATGTGATGCATCTATATAAGGCTGTTAATATTATGTACTGCCTTTTAAAAATCAAAACTCCTGTATGGTTTTATTCTGCCTGCAGGAAAGCTGCTTATTTAGGCAACATAGTTCAGAGTCTAATTCCATTAATCCAGGTCTGCTTGGGTAAGGATTGAATCTTAAGGATTTGTTGCACAGTTTGGATGGGACAGGGAGATTGCCTTCCTTCCTTCCTTCCTTCCTTCCTTCCTTCCTTCCTTCCTTCCTTCCTTCCTTGCCATCTCGAGCCTCAAACTCTAAATCTGAGGATTCAGAGTTTAATTCTTGTGCTTCCTGCAATAAAAGTACTTTTTTTGGCAAGATAATTAAGAGTCTAATTTCATTAATCCATGTCTGCTTGAGTAAGGATTGAATCTCCAGCATTTGTTGCATGATTTGGATGGGACAGGAAGATAGTATTAATTAATTAATTAATTAATTCATTCATTCATTCACTGCCATGTCTACCCTCAAACTCTAAATCTGAGAAATCAGAATTTAATTCTTGTGCTGGCTTAAAGAAGTCCTAGGTTTGCATCGTTAGCATCTCTCCACATTACACATTAATGACCTAATAAGTTTTCCTTCTTCCTATAAATCTAGAAACCATCATAGTTGTGGGGGAGGGCAGAATTTTGGACAAAGATGTCCTAAATGCTATGGGTCTGGATTGCAGGAAAGCCCCAGCTCCCAAAAGATCAGAGGCTGAAAAAATGGAAACTTCAATGTAGCCAAGACATGGGACCAATACATCCATATTTCATCATTCCCGCTCCTCTGCAGGTAGAGAAGGCTCTGAAACATAATTCCTGGACTCGGTAGATTCTTTGGGTGCCATCTTCCCCAATTGGTTCAATGTGGGGTAACATTTCCAAAGGATTCAATTGGATTCAATGTATTCAATTTTTAAAAAAGCTCAATAAAAGTACCATCTTGAACAGGATGAGTTGATAGGACTTTGTAGGTGCTGGACAATGTTCCTTTTCGCTAGATCTTTGAAACATAAATAAGAGAAGCTTTTCACAGCCCTGTCTTCATATATTTCATTTTTTTCCTGCATTATCATTCCTGCATCTAATGTGCTACTATCTAGGGGAGAGAGGGTTTCATATTAATTTTTGTTTGTATCCCATAACTGGAGAAGGACTGTCCTCCAAAATGTATGAACATTTTATCAGCATCTTTGAGTATCTTCCTTACCTGCTCAAAGATTGTAAGAAAATGTTTAACATACAGCACACAGGTAGCTCTTGGTTCTGACACAATGATCCACCCATGTTACTGGCTTGCTGTTTTCCTTGGTGGGTTCTGGGAGAGGCTGAGAGCTCTCTTTGAAGTTCATCCTGTTCCTGATCGGATCCAATTGCATGCCGGGAAACAGTCCTTGACTTCATTAAATAATGTGAATGGCTCCACTTTAAAATCCCCTGATTCCAACCCTGGAGATGACTTCTTAGGGAGATGTAGAAAACTGATAGTTACAAAACACCAGAAACATTTATAAAAGTATGTATGTTTGCCCAGTAATGGTTGTTCTGATTTGCACTGTTGCAAACACAATCTTGGTTTATTGATGGTTTCCAAAGCTTGTGGATGGTGTTCAGCTATGGCAGTTATGTGTGTAGAGAAGAAGTCAAAAACACAGTTTCTCCTTTTTCAACATACTCTTCAGGTGGTAAAAATCACTTAGCAAGAAAACCAACAATCTGTATCTCAGGTTCAGCCAGTGCGGCACTGCTAGGAAACCCAGCCAGCCGCGCTGAGCCAATTCTACCACTATTCTAGCTTGATATGAATCATTGCTTCTTGATCTGAGAAGCTTTAATGACAATTATATTGAATATTTTATTAGTTGGAATGTTGGAAAAAGTTGGGCATCTGGTTATCTCCTCTACAATTATGAAATTAGCTATGATTCACCATGCACCTGCTCCAAATCGCACAGGACAGACAAACCAAGGGGATAAGATGTGATTACTGTTCCTCATGACAATCCAAGTGCTTTGCCAGCTGGATCACTGTTAAATGGACAATAAAGACCTGCCTTAATAGAGCCGAATGATTTCACCAGGACATGGTATCCAGGCATGCTCACACTCTGGCTGTAGGATGATTTCCTCAATTATTCCCCATCCAACTCTGTTGTCTGCATTCTAGAGTGAATTTCTAGCGGCTTTA